GTTACTTCCCATAGTATAGTTACTTCCCATAGTATATAGCTACGATTGGATAGGTTAGATGTTAAGCAATCGTTCTGTCATACATAGCTCCATCGTTCCAGGCCTCAAAACGAGTGGTCGACATATCTTCTGATTAATGACTAAGAATCTAAAGAATTCTTTTATTTTAGCTAAGATATCTGTTAGATAGCTCTAGAGACACTCCAAATAGGCACTCCATTACTTAAGTATAATGTGGGGAAACGCATTATCTGGAGGACGTCAGTATGTTGTGTACAGTAATGGAAATTGATGAGGCACTGATTTTGATTGGGGAAATACATTATACACAAATCAATGTTTGATCAAGTTATGCTAGAGATTCCTATGTATGATTCCTTACAATTTAATCTAAGGATATAGACCTAATACCACATATATGTTAACCATAATCTAGCTTCTTTCCATTCTTGCCTATTTTTTTCTGATTCAAAATAGACAATGCTCTTTTCAAATCTCTTTCCGATGGCCTGTTAATAAAGTAATAGACAATGCTCTTTTCAACTCTCTTTCCGATGGCCTGTTAATAAAACATTTCTTTATAAAACTTTGTTCACAGCTTCAAAATTAAAGCAAAAAGAAGATCAAAACAAAAATGGTTTTCACAAAAAATTTCAAAATTAACTTTAAAAAACCCAATAAGATACCAAGAGCTAACGACATCCAGCTGTTGAATAAACATGGGTGGCAATGAGGATAATAAAAGAGTATTCATTTCAAATGGGATTTAATAAGAAGTGAGTCTAGATATTTCCATTTTTGAGAGGCGCTAACTGATATTACATGTGTGTCATTGGAGAAATAGTCATGTAATTAAAACACAATTGAAACTACCAACACAAGATACAAAGTGAAAGTTTACCAACAGGATATACGGTATAAAAATTACCATCATGAAGTACAGTATAAAAATTATACCAACACAAGATACGGTATACAAATTATACCCAGAGGAGAAACAGTATAAAAGTAAGATTTGCTGAAGAAAAACTGTTCATCATATGGTGACCTTTAATCTGGTAGGAAATTGTTACAAAAATAAAATTTGACAAATTCTTTTGCCTAAAAATCACTAGCATGTCCCCTGATATACTATTAACTACAAAACCAAAGTCATGACAATACACAGCACCTTATCATAAAAACTACACAGCTACCCAAAGCCTGACACTCTTATCCCTCAACTGTAAAACACAACTACAACCTATAGAAGTCATACAAAATTATATTTAAAACGTTCGACAATCTTTGAAAAACACTCAAAATGAATATCTAAAAAGGTCAGGTAATTTATAAACTGGCTGTCATAGTTAAGTCTAACCTGGGTATTATCGTCGGAGTAATGCACTTTGATACAGTCTCAACTTCTGGAACCATGGTTCTGAAATAGTCGACCATGTATCTAAAAGGTAAGAAATGCAAAATGGTAGCTAAAAAATACATGTAACTTTCAAAATATAATAAATTAAGACATTTGTACTGTTCTAGCCCTCTGTATTGTCAAATATGAATGGGCAAAACATGAAACAAAATAATGCAGTAACTTAAACAAGACAAAATGTGATGTGTTTGACAACGAAAATAACAATATAGATACTTGTGAGGGAAAATTGAATTAATGTTTTAAAATTAAGGAAAAATAAAGAAAAAATAAAAGTAAAAGATTTCAAGAACTACCAAGCACAAAAATTGTAAGACTGACATAAGAAAACAAAACAACTGAAGATTTTTGGAAAACAATTGATTACAAATACAATGACATTAACATAACTTGAAATCGGTATGTAATTAACATAAGAAGAAAGATAACAATTTTATATACACAAGATACTAACTGTGAAAAACACAATAACAGTACAACAATTCTAATGACCAATCTATTACATTTAACAATGATACAGGTAACAAAACACCCTATCCATCACGATCAATGAGACACTATTAACCCCACTCTTAGACTAGCATCATGTCAGACTCACAGAAGACCAGCTGTTTGGGCTTCTCGGTGTATCAGCCAATCAGTGTCTCAGCCAATCACTGTATTAGCCAATCAGTACCTCAGCCAATCACTGTATCGTCCAATCAGTGTCTAAGCATTTCACGGTATCGGACAATCAGTAACACAGCCAATCACTGTATCGGCCAATCAGTACCTCAGCCAATCACTGTATCGGCCAATCACTGTATCGGCCAATCAGTGTCTCAGCCAATCACTATAATTATGATACACATGTAGCACTGAGTCACTTCTAAACACCAACAACATAGCTGTCTTAATTACATCAGTACAGGCAGTTTGAGATTTGTTATCTAACCTATTCCCTTGTACTTGTGAAATATTTTCATATAAAGAGGAAAGATTGAGGTGGAAAACAAGGATTAAATAGATATCATATGTTAAAACAAGAATGAAATTGACAACATGTCATCTTTACTTTTGAATGCTGTGGTGTTTTTTATGATACTTAACAACCAATACATTCAATTCACCATTTTTTTTAGTTTTACGATTGAAAATGTATAAATAATCATGATCATCCAATCTAAATTCTTGGTTTCCTTAAACATCTTGTTGTTTAATATATACATTTAAATCCCGATTTCCAAATCTCTCCAGTAAAATCATCAGTTATATATGAGTATGTCTTAAAATTTTGAAAGGAGAATATGCATGAAACAGGAAAGTCTGTACTCTGCCTATCCATGTGTATAGTTACACCAAAAAAAACCAATAAAATTTAATTAAAGAGATGATTTGTAAATACTATCTAAAAGGTTAGAGGTTTCAAGGCATTGTCTGTCCACTGATCACTGAGGTCGGTTACCCGACTCAAACACGTATGTAACCTGGTACATGTATCATTGTACTATGTACACAAGGCAAATAAAGAAAGAAATGTATTCAAAAATATAAAGTACGCACAATACTGGAAATGTTGACTTACAAGACATAACATGACCAAGCTTTTTTACAAACATGTATACCCTGGTAATACCAGTATTTGAAACATTATTCCTTTAGAGGGAAGGAAACACATTTCCTCATACCATCAAGTAAGAATTAAAAGTACCCATACTTAAAAACCTAACTAAACATCCTAACATTTTCAATAAAATAACTTGTATACGCGAAAGTGCAATTGGAATGAACTTACTAAAATGAAATGAACTAATTATGACATTAACCTACACATGTTGCCAAACAAGTGTGCAAAATTCATAACGAGTAAATCAATGTATTTATAGACTAACCATATTTCTCATCAATCAATGTGTACATGCCACACACAATCACACACATATAATTATATATACATTGTATGTATATATGTGTGTGTGTGTGTGTAGCACTGAATTAATTTGGACATTGGATTTTGGGGCAAGATGCAAAAATATGTGTGCATGTCACATAATCATGAGTACATGTCACATGACATGTCATAGAAATATGTGCACCTGTAACAGAACATTGTGCACATGTCACAGAATTCTGTGTCTATGTAACAAAATCATGTGTACATGTCATTGAATCACGAGTGCATGTCATAGAATGCATAAGAATCATGTGTACATCATTATAAATTCACGTGTACTTGGAAAGACGTGTAAACTGGGTGACCAACACAGGCCAGTTGTCACGGTTGTCTGTAAGCTTCAGACTCCCTGAAATTACTCTAAATCACAGGTAAAGAGGATCATCTTCAGAACACTAGTCCAGCGTCTTTGGCCATTCCATAAAATATAGTTTCCTTATCTTGCAATAAAATATGGGGAATTTCATATTCACGAATAACACCAGCATCTAGCACCATAATCCTGAAATGAAAAAGAAACATTGAACGTTTCAAAGCAATAGCGTGAAAAACAGTCATCAGGTAATGTTAAGAATCTCTCTTTTCCCTTTAATAAAGAATTTGATGCACAAATGAAGCCTGTATTTACACATAATCAAGATAATTACTGTCACAAAAGAACGATTATGACAAGGTACTATTTTTTTAATGTTGAGCAATATAAAAGGAAATAATCAATTTTCTGGAATGTTTTGTATGGCACAGTTTTATTCCACCAATCAAAGAAGTCCCATTGATCATATATCTTAATATATAATGTTTGTATGGTAGCATTAAACTTTGAATAGCAATGATAAGATCTGTTAGGTAACTGAAATAATTAATTGTACACTTGTAAGGTAACATATAGATTTGAACTGAATGAGACTGATTACTTGTCGTAGTCCATGATGGTGTTGAGCCTGTGGGCGATTGTGAGGATGGTACAGTCATGGAACTCTGTCCGGATAGTGTTCTGGATGAGGTCGTCCGTCTCCAGGTCCACCGCCGCTGTGGCTTCGTCAAGGACGAGGATCTTGGTCTTCCTCAGTAAAGCGCGGGCCAGGCATACCAACTGTCTCTGTCCCACACTGAAACATGACGCACAATCTGGTGTGTAATATTAAGCTTAATAGATCTTTTAACTCCTCAAGGGCAAGATAGAGGGATTTCAACCCCAAACGTGTGAGAGATTCGTTTTCTTTTACCCTGTTCAACCTATCATATAATGCAGAGTTAAAGTTACAGAGTCTGTGTACCTGCTGATGTTAATGCAATGCTAATGGGACATCAATGGACTGTTGACGT